AGGTGGGGGTGTCCTGTCCCCCTCTGCTCAGCTGGTCTGTGTATTTACTTAGGGGTTGGAAAAGGCCCTGGGTACAATTGCAGGAAAGCAGGATCTCACCATGGGCTCCTTAGTCCCCTCCCTGCCTTTAACATGGCCTTGCATTGGGGGCACCTTCAGCCTCACCCTCAGGATCAGAAATACAGAGCTTGGGGCAAGGACAAGGAGGAGAAGTGGTGGGGACCCCACGGGGAGCAGGGTGCAGCCCCACGGGTCCGGGTGTAAGCCTGAGCCCTGATGCGTCCTGAGCTGTTGGCTCTCCCTGCAAACCCCATATTGCTACAGAGCCAGTTTTTCCTCCCAGAGTGCCGGAACGCTGGCTTTCCAGGTCATCCCAAAACCAAGCCCTTCTTAAATGAAACAGCCAAAGCCGCCTCCTCCCTTGTGCAGTTTCTTGCTGCTCTTCAGGTTTGTCCAGGGCCAGCAAGGCCCAAGAGCGGACAAGCTGCGATGCCGCCCAGTCCTGGGCCACCGTGCATTGGGCTCTACCAGAGGCGGTGTGGGCACCCAGCCCTGCTGCCCCGGGGTCTCGGCACCCATGCGAGCAGCGGCGGGGGCAGAGCGGGGGGGGGCTCTACCAGAGGCGGTGTGGTCACCCAGCCCTGCTGCCCCGGGGTCTCGGCACCCATGCGAGCAGCGGCGGGAGCAGTCCGGATGGGAGCTGGGGGCAAGGCCAGAGCTGGGGAGCCAGGGGCACTGGTCCCACTAACTGCTGGACCTTTTCATGGGGGTTTTCCTGAATTACCCCATCGCTGATGCCTGGGTCCCAGATGAATCCCTCTGCAAGCCTCCAGGAATGAAGGCCATTGCCAGGACCATTCAGCATTCACTCCACTGCAAACTGTTGGGATTTATTTTTTGGTTTTGCTTATTTTTTTTTATAACTAATAGGGTTATTTCCACACAAACATCTTTCCTGGTGTCTGTGGTGCTCTGGTTTCCTATTTGCTTGTCTGGCACAATTTTCAGGCATACCACAGGACTGAGCGGTCCCAAATGGGCCAGAAAGCCACGGGGCACCTCTGCAAGAGCTGGGTCAGCAGGGTTCCTCCGAGGGGACAGCAAGGGTCTCACCTTCACTGTGCTACGGGCCAGCTCTGCTTCTGCCTGTTCTGGTCCTGTTTGAATCCCTCCTGTCCTGGTGCCTCCCATCAGGTAGATCGAATGCCCTCCCTGCCATCAGCACCACCACCGTTGGGTGCCGAGGCCGCCCAGCTTGCTGCCCAAAAAAGCCATCACTGGGTTCCTGTGTGAGGCAGGAGAGACATGCGGGGCCCCTTGCAGGGGCAGGGTGCAGGGTGCTCGGGGCAGGAGGTCTCCCATCAGCTGCAGCCCCAGCTCTGGGAGCTTTACGTTGGCGTGGAAGGGGCTAGGGCCTGAGGTGGAGATGGCAATATTGCGCTGGTAATTGCTCCTGTCTGCTTTAGTGCAGCAGTAAATGAACCAATTGTATTTATAATGATTTCACTCATATAAACTACGGCTCCCTAAATCAAGCCTAACCATTTGTGGCTATAAGAAACTTCCATCTCCAGCAGCAGTTTCAGTAATAAAGCCTGGAGGATATTATTATTAATAATAATACAACAGCAAGAGTCTTTTCATTTTCAAAGTATTGACAGTAACTAACTGTTTCCCGCAACTACCTGCATGGCAAAGATGGGGAAACTGAGGCAGGGCCCAGTGCTATCTCTCAGAGCCATGCCGTTCAGGGGCAGGAGATACCCTTATGGGCTCCCATTGCCCCGGGGTGTGCAGAGAGCACCCATCTGCACCCGGTGAGCGGCGGGGGCGTTAGCGCCTGCCCTGGAAGCCGTCATTGCCTGAGCCCACTCTCATTTGGCTGCTTTGCAAGGCCCAGCCACAAAGCAGCCGGAGCCCGGCAGGCAGCGGCATTGGCGGCTTTGGCCTGCGAGCGACCTGCGCCTCGACCACAGCCCCAGAGCTGACCCCACGTTATGAGAGAAAAAGGGGCTCGATCCAGAAGGAAGGGACCAGCAAACACCGGCCAGGCAGGGAGCAGCGTCTGGGCAAGAGCTGCCAGGGGAGAGCGGGGCAGGGCTGGCTCCCGGCTGGGCACAGGGGAATGCGAGAGGGGGTCACTGCCTCCCATCTGCCCTGGGCTAAGAGTGCCCCAAATGGGGAAGCCCTGCAGGCCAGCTGCTAATGCCCATCTAATATTTCAATTCTTGCTTTCCCAAGTGATAATTGGGTACGTGTGAAACCGAATCCTGTCTCTGTCACAGCCTGCTGTACCCAGAAGAGGGCTCAGCTGCAGTCCTGAGGCCGGGAGAAATTGTCCTGGGGGTGCCAGGAGTCGCTGCCCCTGCTGCCATGCGCTCTCCATGCACGGGACACTCCCTCGCACACCCAAGTCTCCCAAGCCCAGGTCTCCCCTGAGGTCTTTGTTGGGGAGGGACAGTGACGGTGGTGTGAGCACCATGGCCAGGCAGAGGCTG